TGTGAAAATTTGATATGGACATTTATTGTTCATCATAATGATGAATCATCAAATAGTCACCAACTCAGACATGCCTTTTTCCCTTGCTATCAACTCTCTAAATCTCTTGATTAGTATTCCTGACAAAGAACTACCAGAAGATTGCTGATTACTTATCTTAATTATTCCTAAGAACGCCAAACTATTGACCAGCTTTTCCTCACCTTCACAAGTTTTCTATAACCACAAATGCCATAACTCATCCCTGACAACATCCAATCTCACTCATGATCCTACAGCATATCTTTCATCTGTGTTCTATAAATAAGAGGGTAAGTTCTATAAATAAGAAGAAACATTGGTCAATAATTGTCTATAGAAAATATATTTTCAACTTGACTCGCATACATAAATCCAATCCATCCATCTTGTTGATCAGCAACATCCTACAGTTAACTTTTAATCCATATGACCATGTTGTGAATATAATTTTTCTCTTTTCCTTCCACTCCAAATTAAACTTAACCGAACCAAAACTCATCATGATTATACATGCAACGGTTATCTCGTGCAGCTGCATTGGCCTCTAGATACCAAGTATGGCTGACATTTAGCATGGCTATCCTAAACCTAGCAACACAACAAAATTTGGATTATATATACATTGTAACAGAGCAACTGAAGACATTGATTTTCCTATGTACTTATTCTAGAGAGAACATAATAACTGGCAGAGAAAGCACCATAGATATCAACTACTGAGGTTTTGGATCAGAAAAGTATTAATGGCTCTCTTATATCAGTATTGCATGGTATAATTATAATATAGTCACAAACAACCCTTTCAGAGTGGATATTTTATAAACTTAACTCTCTATATAGCAGGTCTACAATAGCAGAAAAGTATATAAAAGAGAACCAAGAAGCACTAAATCCAGTCGATTCATCTAGCTAATTCTTTAGGTAATATCCCTCATACACTTCAGAGCAGCAAAACCGAGAGTCAAATAAACAATGACAGTCAAGTAATTTAAGGAGATCAATCTTTTATATGATTTCTACCAAAGTTGTTACTAAGCGTATCGAAGATGTTCCAAATTCACCTCATATCAAATATTTTGACTCTACCACTTCACTAATCATAGGTAACGACTTGTTTCGATTTAATGCTTGCAACTCTTATGTCTTGTTCACTTGCATAAACACATGGATGTATAATTTCGTTCTTTTTTCTTCTTCAAATTTTTTTTTTCTATTGACAACAAAAGAAATTTATTTAAGTGAACAGTTAAGGCACAAGAAAAGGATCCTGACACACTACAAATAGCACTCCAATCTCTAGAAATTAAAAACAACGGGATCCCTTTAAAAGAAAAAGGAAATGAGCCCCCCCCACCCCCCCCCCCCCCCCCCAAAAAAAAAAAAAAAAAAAAAAAATATGCCAAATAACAATTTTTCCCCCAAATCCTCTCAACATCTTCACTTTTTCCCATAAAAAAGACCTAGCATTCCTTTCTAGTCATAAAGTCCAAAGAACCACACAAACGAGACATCTCCAAAAAGCCTGAGCCTTAGCATTTGAACCAAATCCTGTAAAATCAATGCACAACAAATTCTCACTAAAGGATGGAATAACCCAATCATCCTCCATAAAAAGAATACTCTCCACAATAAAGATAGAGCCAAGGATAGTGCAAAAATAGATTATCCATACTTTCTTTGGCCCCCCTGTACATTACACACCATTCTGGAAACAAGTACCAACTCAACCTTTTCTTTTCTTATGAGTCAATGTCCACGCAAGTACTTTAACCTTAAGAGGTACACAACACAAGCATCCCAAATATTCTTATCAGGAGGAAAAATTTGTACATTTGAATTGTCAATAAGACTATCAAAATAGGACTTCCAAGAGAACTACTGAAAAAGAAAAAAGAAAACCTCAACAAGCCTTGTGAGATAATTTCTATGGAGAACGGTAAGTCCCTCTCTCCACTGCAATGTACCACACATTCACCTGAAGTCCATAATTTCTCATTTCCAGCGCGCGCGCACACACACACACACATATATATATATTCAGATATATACATAAATACATAGTGTATACAAGCAAGAATGACATATCTCTACCTGTGCCGCCGGCCCCACATAGCAGTGGCCAATGCCACAAATAGAAAGATCAAAACAATTAGGATCCTTGAATCACCAATCTAGCACCATCTTGTGTGTGTGTGTGTAATGTTTCCTATCTGCCATTGTAAGGTAACATATTTTCCATGTGTAATAAAGTGAATTAGAAACTTCAAATGATGTGTGTAATGCTGCTTCTTTTGAAGTCACCCACGCCTTCGTAAATTCACAAGGGAAAATGGCATGGATCAAGGTTTAACTTATTCCAAGGATGATTGATTGTGCTGCCCTATAAATGTTAGAAAGAAAGATTTTTGTTTTTGTTTTTGCTTTAATTATATATGGTGATGTTATCAAGACAAGGCCAGGATCATATTTGATTAAATGGTTTTATTTTACTGGTTAGTGGGCATGGGTTTCAATTAAGAGTACAATGGCTTGACGGATCAAAACTAGGAAACGAACCTAGGATTGTTGCAGAGGTATCCCTAGGAAAGAAAATTGACATCATTTGTTTCATTGAACAAGGAGGAAGGAAGAAAGGGTTGTTGGTCAAGTTTACCATTATACCCTTGTTACCATTATACCCTTGCATATTAAAGGATGAATGTTATTGTTTTAAGGGGCAACGAATAAAAAAGGAAAGAAGAAAGCATTTCCTACTTTAGTGGGTTTGAAGGGAAAGCTCAAACACCCATGAGAAGCATAAGACAGAGAGAAACCAAGGTATTGATAGTACCACCAAGACAGTTGATGATCACACAGTGTTTAAAATAAATATATATCACATAATTAGCTAGTTGTGAAGCCAAAAAGTAACTAGAAAACAAGAGGCATGCTCTTCAAACAAAAAAATTACCAGGAAGATATGTATAAACATAGATATATATCTGGAGTTATTAGCATGCCTTACCTGCAAAAGTTACAACAGTGTAAACATAAACACGAATTCACTCTTAAGTCAAATTCCTTAGTGACAAAGATTAGGGGTAGGAATTTTCAACACAACACAAACAAGGCACAAAATTAGAGGGTTAGGGTTTGCTCGTTCTCGACTTGAACCCAAAAAAGGCCCAACACGATAACACAAAAAATAGACAGGTCAGATTAGTATCAAACCCGTGGTTTCACGAATTTGACACAGCTATTCATTTGAAGGTAGTAGTGCAGCAGTTATTGGAGTCAATTATGAGCTATTTTAGTTATATATTTTCATTGAAAGTTCTGCTGGTTTACAATATTAAGAGTAATGTTGCTTAGGCAGAAACATAGGTAAAAATGACATATGTAGTCGACCATGATTGGTCCCCGTGTGAGGCCAATCATGACAAACCACATGGTTAGTTTCGTTATTATTTGGCCTATAAATCGTTCTCCAGAATATTTATGTAACTATTTATGGTGATTGAGATCTAGTTTTCACTTTTGTGGATTACTTGTGAACTTTTTGTGAGATATTTCATGGATATTTCCATGCAGATGTAGACGATGTATGTGTTTATTCTTGTTAATGGGTTACACAGGCTGTATGCAAAATAAATAGGTTTTGCATGTTAATTGGGTCACGTGAATCATATTCGAGTTAAAAAGGGTAAGTTACAAACAGGTCGGGTTAGTGTTGAGGGGATTCTAACAATAACCCGAGATGACACAAGGGAATCATAGTGCCATTTCACAGCAAAACCTTCATTTCTCAAGATGATACTACCAATCCCACATCACCAGAGTCCTAAGGCAACAAAGATTTGGGGACCTTACTCAAACGCCTTCCCACCTTTTTTTTATGACCTGGTGATGTAATCAAGGTCTGAGGCTACCTTGGGAAGGAATATTCACTTACTGATAAAAACAAGATTTCTGTCAAATTGGTTATCTGGTTGAGCATTCTTACAGTTCAGGCTAGCTTATATAGATGTGTTCTAGTTATAACGGCAGCATTGCAATTTTCTTAGCTTAAAGGTGACCTCTTTAGAGATACACCTATTAATCATTACAATGGTTGCGTGTAAACTTCTTGTCAAACTTGTAACAGCAGCTTTATGGACTTTTAGCTTTTTTACCCATGACTAACCTCCTTAACCAATCTTTATAGGCTTGTACTACCTATTTTGAAAGAGATTTTTGGACCCTAAATTTTCGGATACAAATGCATTTTTTATATTCCTATTTCCCTACTTCTTAAGGCTTGGTTTAGAGCCCCACAATTCAAGCCTTGCTGAAAATTGTAGAAATCAGATATAAAAATCTAGTATGTGCAAACTATTAGCCTTGATTTTAGTTTTATTTGGGTCCTCTTTCTATCATGGTTTTGGAAGCCTTTGCCAAACTAAATCAGCTAAAAATAGACTAGAGTGGGAGAAGGGGAACAAAAAAACTAAACATATAAACAAAACACTAGCTAAAGCAGACAACAGCAATTGTGCCACCTTAAAATTAAAGATCTCCTTCCAATTGCCAAGTGCAACAGCAACACTATATAAGACTTTAAGGATGAGTACAAGATTGATTCAAGCTACAAACCAAAATCAAACATAAAAAGGGGTAGCTTAAACCCATGACCATAAAAAATAATAACAATTAAAGAGTATATAAATGCATGATGTCCAGAAAATATAGCCCTTGCGCTAAATGCTAAACAAGTCTAACAAGCAGCTGAAAGCATGGTACAACAGGAACCAGTGTTCCATCAGAAAAGGTAAACGACTAGTGTCCTATTTGATGCATGTATTCACTTGATTATATGACCATATTTATGGATGGTACTAATTTTGGACCATGTTTTGTGTATATTTTGCAAGAAAAGAAAAGAGTATGTTAAGGTAGGGTAATACACAAAAAAAAAAAAAAAAAAAAAAAAAAAAAAAAAAAAAAAACCTCTTCAGGATCACTTAAACTAATATTTGGTGCTTGAAAAGAAGAAAAAAAAAAATCTATTATGTAGTATGTCAGGTATAATTACAAGTTTTAACAACAAAATATAAACTAAATGAGTAATGGGCTTACACTACGGAAGCGAATGCTTTTGGGATGCATTTGTCAGGGAAAATTACAATATACAATCCTGCCAAGAGCCTCCACAAGTTCTCAACACCACCTTAGTGGTAGTCAATTTTTTTGCACAAAAGCAGAATCTTCTTCTGGAGCATTATGAATTCAAATTTCCTACTCACGCCACAGCCCACTGCAGTGAGCATAATAAGAAAAGAAAAAAAAGCAGCTGTTACTTTGGAGAGAAAAGAAGATATAAGCAATGGGTCACTGCATAACATTTTATTCAAACAACGATTAAGGTAAATAATAATAAGGGCAAATTGCCTTATTTCATGAATTGCTTCATTTTTTAATCAACTAATTCAAAACCTGCGAATTTGTCAATGAGTTTATCAATTGTGCAGCCAACAAACAAAATAAGTATTAAATCTCTGAATAGTAATTCCATGTTTTAAGAGAAATGGCCCGATTTAGTGAAACTATAAAAAATTATTCCATTTTACAGCCAAATACATCTAATTACTCAAACTGTAGACAGACTCTAAAGTGGCCTAATTCATATTTGGGACAACCAATAGGCCGTTTAGGTTTGACAAAGGTAGTAATTAGCAATACACAGGAACAATAACAAGACAATGTATACAGTCTCTACAAAGGGAGAACATACTTCAATAAATTGACTTATGGTTCAGTCCCAGAAGTATTAAACCATCTTGGCAATACGTAAATAAGATTACAAGAAAAAAAAAAAAAAGAAAAAAAAAAAAAAAAGAAAGAAGAAGGAAACTCACCAAAGATCTATAATGGAGCTGCAGGCGGTCTTAAGAATGCCTCCAACAATTAAGGGCTGACATATCTGGTCTACCAGGCATTATTTGAGAAACACTGTGACCTGAAGTACATACAACCATGAAGTTATTCTTTCTTCACAACTGATGTTGAAGTGATTAGGAAGTCACTTCTGAGAAAGTGAAGCATTCATTCTACATGCCAAGGTCACCTGGAACTGGAGCTCCAGCTGGCAGTGTGCTTGGGGCAGAGGGTTGAAAACCAACATTATTTGCAGGTGGCCTTTCAAGAGGAGGCCGAAAATAACCTTCCAAGTAAAAAATTACAAGAACAACTGTCAAAACAAGCAACTTCAACTAACCAAAGAACCAATAGCTAATGAAGTCAAGAAAGTAATGACTGCACACATTTCCTAGATCAATCTTTGGTGTGAACAACCTTTAAACGTTATTTTATGTAAAACATGTGATATATTCCAGGTCAACTTTGGGCAGCTAGAAACCACCAAACTTATGACCATTGAAACTTGCGATGGAATTGGACAAAAAAAGTACCAGGAAGGATGGTCCAGAAGAACATCCTTCAAGTACAAGACACGAAATTGCCAAGCACAAATATGCAAAAAATGTAACCATCAGAATATAATACAAAAAAAGAAGGTACCTTCCCTCTTTTTTACAATGAGACGAGGACTGACATTCAAGAAAAAGAAACACAAAAGAACTTGTGTGTGCCTAAATTGGTATGCTCTCACATATTGAACTTGTAGAAGCACAAACTTTCATTCATGCAAGTTTTTACGAAGCCAAAATAAATGACACAAGTCCAAGTTTCTACTTTCAACCATTAATTTAAAAGTTAATGTTAGCATTTACCATAAACCTACCACCACTACCACTTCACCTACTCCACTAAACCTAACCCACTACACAACTACCACCTCCACTTCACCTACTCTCCACCTACTCCCAAACACACTCCTATATAATAGGAATCCTTGTAATTGTAATAAATACAACACATCTATCTTGTAATCAATCAGAATCAATCAATAATACATCAGTTTATTTTTACAGTTAACATGTGTTGGAGTATGACCATTCTAAAGGCTCAATTATACAGACAGTGTATCAAGAAGGTTCCAGCAAAAGAATTAAAATTAATTAGGAACAAGAATCAACAAGAGATCCAAGTTACGGAACCTATCCATGCCAATAGTGGTAAACTTCAGGCCTTTTTAATAATGCAGCTATGTGCTTAAAGTTGAAAGTATGCAGTGGTTAGGGAAAGTTAAGTGCAGTCAAGAATGCATAAACACCTTATGCTTAAATCTGAAAATTCACCTAAAAGGTCTTAAATTTGAAAATTCACTTAAAGTCTGAAATCTGAAAATTCACTTAAAAGCTCTCAAGGATAGGTGAGATGAACCATGTGCCACTCAAAATTTTTTATATAAATCTTAGTTGAAAATCTTGGGGCAAATTATAGCAGCACTCCTTGTAGTTTATCCATTGTGTTAATTTAGTCCCTACATGTTACAGTTCCAATCATAACAATTTTACCCTTAAATTTTGCATTTTGTGTGTAACTGATCCAACTGAATACGGCCATCAAAGTTTATAACGGAGAATGGTCACATGGTCCTTGCATGTGCATTCTGCATGGGCAAAATGAATCAAAACCAATTACACTGGTGGTCCCTTTAGTTTTCCCTCATGCCAATTTCATCACAGTAATTTCAATTACAACAAATTTACCACTTAAATTTGCAATTTGTGTTTAATTAGTCCAATTAAAAATTATTGTGATGCTTTTTTTTTTAATAGAAAATTAGTGCGCATAACTCAGGTGGCCACTATGGAGACGCATAATGGGAAAATCAATTAGCTTGCTTGGTTAGGTTTTTCAAAAAACACTTTTCAGAAAATTCTACTTTCTTATTTTCTGTATTTTTTTTGTTTTTACTGAATTTTTTAAATATTTTAAGCAATTTTTTGTACTTTTTAGACATAGCTAACATAAATATAACTAAAAAGTAAAAAAATTGTGAAAAAAACCTTTTAAAAATTCACTAAATACCAAAAAAAAAAATATATAAGAATTCAGTACATTTTTTGTATTTTTATGTATTTTTAAATTTTTTAAAATATTTTTCCCCAATTTTTTTTACTTTTTAGATGCATCTAAGTAAGGTGCATCTAAAAAAGTAAAAAAAATATTTAAAAGTTTAAAAATATTCGCTAAAAACAAAAAAACACGAAAACCAAAAAACTGAGTTTTCAAAAAACTCAAACCAAACACACTGAATACATTTCCACTCAGCACTCAAATTTATTTAAACCCTGCTTTTCGGGTAGATCCATTTAATCTGTATGTGATTTAACCTGATTTCCCCTGCCTGAAAATTCTAGCCGTGAACAATAGACCAAACTTGCAAAAGTCACAATTAATCCCTCACTGTCTTTAAACTTGAACACTAATGTTATAATCACTGAATGTCTTACCACATTTTGTCTATAACTATAACGATGTACCACCACCGTATTAGTAACAAACATAAGTGGTGGGACTCACCACAGTACGCAACCAGTTTTCATCAAAAATCTAGACAACCATCAACAATTGGACCAATTAGAGACAGAATGCAAAATTAAAGGATAAATTTGTTGCAATTGCAACTATAGGGACTAAATTGACACAAGTGGCAAACTACAAGGACTATTTTTGTAATTTCTCCAAAAATTATCTTTCAATTTTCAACTAACAAATTCATTAATATTAAAGTAATACCAATTAAGTGCCAAATTTTTTGGAACCAACTTTTTAGTTTTATCAAACAATTCTTACTTAGCATGAGTGAAAAGTTAATATGGCAGTCTGTTAATGAATGTAACGTGTGACAGGATTTCGGTGTTGGTAATTCAATTTAGTATTTTATGTTTAACATATTGGATTGCAAGGCCTTTTCCACAAAGGAAGTACATACAATCAAGCAATTATCCTTGAAAGATGCAAGCTTGGTAGGACTTATCTCCCGGTTGGGAAGTCACAGAAGACACCACTGGGCTATGACCCATGTGGCAGCACAAAATTTCTTGAACACAATATGTATGCAAATTCAATGATCACTGTTATGCACTAATCTCAATGGAAAAGGAAAAAGCATACCTTCTTGGGCAAAGGGTGGCCCCGAACACGATGGAGCTCTCCCACCACTCATCCACACACCTCGCGGATTATCTGTGCTTAACTCACCAGTGGGCAACTTCCACTGTTCATCAGCAATGTACCGCCGTGGACCATCAGGAAGTTTTGGCAATGAGTTCGGGCGAGGATAAGGATGTTGTGGGTGTTGCTGAACTGTTGAATTCGGATACGAGTAATGACTGGACAAGGTTGGCGGAGGCGGGGCAGGACGGAAAGGTCTTTGTGCGAAAGGAGCATTGCCAGGTTGAAATTGCTGATTTGGTTGAGAAGCTTGGGAGTTGACATACAAGTCGTGATGTCCATAATCTAATGACCTTGAGGAATTAAAACCAGAACATTCATGTGGATTGCGAACTCCTGCCGGTGCAAAGCAAGTTGATTGCTGCGGATACATTTCACTTCTAACAGTGCCATCAATATGAACCCCATGATTTGCATTTGCAGCCATTTGGACAAGCTGGTTTCCCTGCAACCAGGAGGAGGAGATCACAATGTATGTTCCGCCATACCCATTAAAAGATTATTTTAAAAAAAAACAATAACAGACAAGAGAAAGAAGTTTTACGCTTGCAGTGCTGCAATATTCATACGGTCCAGCTGGTTGATAGGTCAATTTTGGTGAAGATGGTATTGATGACTGAGGCGGATGAAACTGTTGTGACACCATTGTAGGTTGGGGTGGTAATGGTGGTTGAGACCGCAATGATGACTGAGAACCTGAAGGAGGTAGAGAAAGTGCATGTGGCATTAAGAAGAAGAAGAAGGAAAAAAAAAAAAAAGAGAGAGCGGCTGCAGAGGGGAGTGAAGGTGGCCCAGTTTTGAAGAAGACGAAGGAGGAGGAGGTGGTGATGGTGGCGATGGTGGTGGTGGTGGCGAAGGAGGCAAAGGTGGGGTTGGAGGAGGAGAATTAAAAGGTAATGGTGGAGAACCCGGAGGTAGAGGAGCCAACTCGTTAGAAATGTTCAGAGCAGCCTCCAAGATCCCATCTGAACCTTGCTGTTGCGAGGCAAATTCAATTGAACCATTTGCAAACAAAGATCTTTCATCCTTTGGGTGTCCTGATACATCTTCCATTTCTAGTTCACCATCCACATCCTCTAAGATACAGTGGCGTCTGTCATTTGGAGTGACTATACATGTTTCAATGTCTCCTGCAGCAGCCACTTGTTCTAGTGGTGATCCACCACCAGCTTCCTTATATGAACTACTTGGAAGATCCTCTTCTTCATCTTCTTCAAATACATGAGAAGGTAAGAAGCCAGGCAACTGAAATGTAGCATTGCTGAAACAACAACCCAGAAAAGAAGTATGCATCAGAAACTCAATGACACAAAAACGTAACATTGGAAAAGAATAGATACAACTTGATCAACTTATTGCAGAATACTTCAACCCAATAAATTTAAAAGGGAACCACAATTAAGTTCAAGCCAACAAAATTAACCTCACACCCCAACCAACAAAAAGTTAAAAACAAAACAAAGTAAAAATGGGGAAAGAAAGAACTATAAATAAAATCATGTAATCAGTGCTGCATGCCTCAAGTTCTCCAACTTTCAATGTAGGCCTTGCTTTCTTTCTATTAAACCAAATTTTTCCCATCCAAAGCCTAGTGTCCCAATTAGGTGAGGTTGCTACATGAATCCTTTTTATCCATTCAGTCCATTCAAGGGCTTTATGCCCAATTAATTAAATAAATTCATAACATTTTTTTTACTACCGTATCCTATGTCAATTTAGATCTTCCTCTCCGTCTAGCATGTCCATTTAGGATGATCACATCACTTCTCCTTACCATTGTATCAAAATTCATCGGTGTATATGACCAAACTATCTTAACTTGTTCTCTCTCAATGTTTCTTCAATCAATGTATCTTCAATAGTGCTACTCTTACCATTTAACAATATATTTATTTCTAGTTTTGCTTTTCCTAATCTTAAGTTATCGCACATCCAAGTACCTTCATCTTAGCTACACTCATTTTATGAACAAGTTCTAAGTTTCCCAACATTCTGTTACGCATCACACCTCATAGTTTTTCTATAAAAATTTCTATTCAATTTTGTTGGTTTTCGTCGAATCACATAATATTTCAAAAGCACTCATCCACTGTAAGTCAACCTACATTGATTCAATGGATCAGACAATCTCTTACCTCTCTATCCTCATTAATAATTGAACCTATGTAATGAAAATGTTCACCTTTTGCTATCTCTTGGTTTTCAATCTATACTTCTCCATTATTTGTAGTTCTATTGTTACCAAATATACAACTCCCAAACTAACAACCACAGCCTTCAAGAGAGAACCTTAGAAATTTTGAGAGAAATTGATCATTGATCTTTCTCAGTGTGAGACATTAACAAAAAGTCACAGCAAAGGGTTTGGGTGATGCAGAGATATGGTCTTTAAAACTGTTATTCAATCCACCCCTCTTCCACCATGAGCCTATGTCTCTCCAACTTAGCATTTGTGAAGCCTTTTGTTCATTCAGCCAAGTAGTAGTGTGTTCCGACCATAAGTCCACTATTTGCATAACTTGTTTAGCCTTTGCTTCCACTGAGCCTCTAGTGATTGTGTGAAACATCAAACCTGCTCCCACCATGCTTCCACTATAAAGTCCATTGCAGATCTGATGAATCCCCATACTCTCACTTCAAGAATTTTGATGCTATTACTCCTGCACTGAGTACTATGTAACACGAGTCCATTTTGAGCCCATACGTTCTGTAAAAATTGAAAATGCTTCCATTCTATTTCCTGGCAAGTCTTAAACATCCTCAACTTGCAATTACAAGTGATAGAACGCTTTTGAGTCCAATATGACATCATCAAAACCAAGTTCCTATCACATTTTCCCATAATGGCCTCAACATGGCCTTGTCCAGTCACGGTAGATATCCATTTCTATAGAGAGGCTGGCAATGGAAGTTGTCCTTTTATTCCTCTAATCTTTTCTCAGTTCTCTCTCTCATATTAAGTAGCTAGTGAGAAAACATGACGTTTAGAGCTTTTTTTAGGAGGCTAATGTGAGCAAAAATGTTTGGCGCCAACAGAATAAATTGCCCTCAACAACCACTGTATGGCTGCTATGTCATAATTTTTCGACACTCAGATAGAAGTGGAAGGGAGGGCTACATTCAGCTAATTTGAGTAGTTGGACAGCTTAATTGGACAAAAAACTAGTTTTGGGGCTTAATCGGGAAAAAAAAAAGATGCAGAGTTTTGGCGGCTTCTGGAGTACATTCAAATCTCCATCTCTATCCTTACAAGCCTTCATGTTCAAAGCAAAACAGATTGGTAAAAGAAGCTTCAATAGTTATGAAACAATGATATCAAAAAGTGTATGTATAGCCTACTAGACCCAGAGCAATTTTCAGGGTAAATAAAGATTGCTTAATGCTTCACTCTAATGATAAATGTAAGGTTGCCTATCCATGTTTACCAATTTTCAAGATGTAAAAGAATTATGATATGCAATACAAAAAAAATAATAAATAAATAACAAAGGGCACGCAACACGACACATTATTTGACAACTTGGTCTCCATCATTAGAAAGGTACAGTTGCTTCCATTCAGCCAATCCAGTTATGTGAATGGACATAGTAACTTTCTTCTAAAGTTTTTATACACTGAATTGTTGAATACATTGAGAATAATGACAATATAAAGTTTTATGAGACAAAATAACTATATGTGAATAAGTGCATGCATGCGACAAATTCATTAGCATTAAACATGATTACTACTTTACTAACTCATTTTCTTGATATCCAGCAGAAACAATAGATAGACAACCAATGACTATGTTTAACAGTTCCCATCGTGACAAAACATCATATTTAAGTACTAAAAAAAAGTAAAAGCAAAAATTACTCAAATAAGAATAGCAATTAAGAAGCATCAGACCTCCCATATTCATCAACAAGCATGCCTTCCATATCTCTAATTGGATCATCTACAGCACGCTCAGCTCGAGACGGACGTCGAAGGAAAAATCCAGCAGATGCATCGTCATTTGAAACTCCAATGTCATCCATATATTGGCGAAGAAGAGACTCAGGTAAGATTTTCCTCTCAAGCCATAATCGCAAAACCTATATACAATTAATTCAATTTATCTTTAGCAAAAAAATGATGGCACCCTCACTGGTATGAAATGTTACAATTACCTTGAGACACTGACGGCGATTTTCACGAGCAGCAACTCCAGGAGGAGCAGCAGCTCCTAAAAGGCGAGGCAGTGCTGCTTGAACTGTAGGAATGTATGATGCTCCGGCAATGCCTTAAGGAAACATCACAGAGTCAACAAATTGAAAATTATTTCCATTAAAAGAAAACAGCAAGCGATTTACATATTCATCTTAGCAACCACATAATAACAGAAAAGTACATGGGTCAGCATAAATATACATTAAGACGATGGATGATTATCATATACCATTAACATATTGCAAAGTTGCAATATGAAAACAGCACCTGGCATAAACACCATTGAGAGAGTTATTGACAATGAAATGCTTTCTCAGTTATACTATCTACCTTTATGATTGTGTGAGCACTGTGTAATAGAGTCCACTAGAAAAAACAGGTCCACTTTGCGATGAAAGCTAGGCTCACTTTCCAGCTTCCGGATGAGAAGTTCCACAACCTGCAGAAAAGTATAAACCCAAACCTTTATGGCCCATACGCGCATTTCTATCAGAAACCTTTCATCCATTGGAACTTCCGACATACAAGCAGAATAGATAAATTAAACCAAAATGATTCAAAGAAACAAACCAAAATAATTGAACATGATAATCCAATGATATCAAATAGAATACTCACCATCTAACTACTAAGTAATATAACAGGAAGAGCTTGAGGGAGTTGAAGAACCTGGTTTCAGGTATTAATGATGATATTTGTTTGAAAGAGGCTAGAGACAAAACTGTTTCTAATTGAAGATGGTGAGTTTAGGAGTAGGCGTAAATGTGGTTAGATAGATGTTGTTGAGGAATAGTTTGGATATTGTGATTCTTCAAGAAACAAAAATAGATGATGCCGATAGAAAATTAATTAAAAGAATCTAGGGGAGCAAGATATAGGAAGTGGGCTGTTTGTCTGTGTGGAAGATGGGGGGAGTTGTGATTGTGTGGGATGACAGAGTGGTTACCCAGACTGATATCGCGGTAGGGAAGTTTTAAATGTCTGTTAGATTTGAAATTGTGATAAGAGTGAATGGAAGATCAGGGGGAGTTGTGATTGCGTGGGATGAGAGAATGGTTAGCCAGAGTGATATTGTGGTAGGGGAGTTTTAAATGTCTGTTAGATTTAAAATTATGATGACACTGAATGGTGATAATCCGAGTGCGAGAAACCTTTGCGGGAGAACTTAAGCAACCTATTTCGCCTTTGTTCTCCTAATTGGCGTGGGTGAGAATTTCAATGATGATAGTGAATGGTGATAATTGAAGCACGAGAAAACCTGTGGGAGGAGTTTAGCCACCTACTTTGCTTTTGTTCTCCTAATTGGTGTGTGGGTGGGGATTTCATTGTTACAAGATTAGTTTTAGACAAAACTTAATTTGGTATGTTCATTAGGGAATGTGAATTGATCGATCCTCCATTGTTGAATGCTCATTTTACTTGTTCAAATGAACAAGCAAATTTGGTGTATTATTGGATAGATTTTTTTGTTTTCTTTGGGACGGGAAGATAGATTCCTAACGTTAGTCAAGAGGTACTTCCCAAACTAGCATCCGATCATTGTCCTTCAGCTCTTGAGAGTTGTCCTTTTAAATGGGGCCTACTCCTTTCAGGTTAAAGAATACGTAACCAGAGCATCATCTATTCATTAAATGTTTCGAGGAATGGTTGAGAGACTGTAGTTTTCATGGATGGGAAGGTTTAAAGTTTACGAAGAAATTGTAGACAGACAAAGAGAGGATAAAGATATAGAATAAGGACTTTTGAGAATTTCAAAGAGGTGAAGAATGAGCTTTTGAGAAAGATTGATGAGTTAAATTGTACTGAAGTGAGTGATGACCTTAGAAAGGACTGAGAAAATTTAAAAGCCAAGTCTGAAAATTTTATTTTTAGAGAAGAAATTTCTTTTCAAAATCTAAGAATAAATGGTTTGAGGGCAATAACAATGCTAGGTTCTTTCATAAAATTGCAGACAGAATGAGGAAAAAGAAGTTTACTAAGCAATTAGATATTGATTGTGGGGTAATTGTCGAAAGGGAAGACCAAATTGTCAATGAGATTTTTGTTTTTATTCAAGATCGTCAAGAGGGATACTATAGCTTACACTAAAGGTGCTTTGTAGAAGGGCAACAGATTTTAGGATGTGGCCCTGATAGCAAATCAGAGACTGTAGTACACATGTACAAATAAGGAAGGAATAAGATTCATGACTGCTTTGAAAAGGCCTATGATAAATGTGGATTAGGAATTTTTTACTTTTGTAATGAAAAAGAAATGATGCTTTGGAATGAGATGGATTCAAGAATGCTTATATCTTGCAATATGTCCGTAATTTTTAATAACGAATCACGCAAGAGCTTTAAAGCTACTAGAGGGTTGAGGCAGGGCAATCCTTTTATCTCCCTTTTCATTACTTAAGCCCCATTTGATTTGTGGTTTTATGGCTAAAAAAGCCATAAAAAAGTCAAAATGTCACATATACATCAATCAATTACTTTTCCCTCACAACTATCTATTCAACTAAAAAAAACCATTCCAAAAACACTAACTTTTTCACCTCATAAAAAGCCTAAAAGTCAAAAAAACACTAAAAAACCACATTGCCAAATGGGCACTTAGTGGTTAATATTTTAAGTAGGCTAGTTCACATAACTAAGGAGGAGGAATTAGTAGAGGGTATTCATATAGCTACGGATGGAGTTTCAATACCACATTTATAGTTTGCAAATGATACAATTTTTTCATACTTCGACAAGGATGATAAAGTCTTTAATTTGTTGTGAAGGGAGAAGAATCTGGAGAATGAGTGCTTTTGGGCCTAGCCATTGACAAAATTGGAAATAGGCTGGATGGTAGGAAAAGAGCCTCAAGTGTTCTCATATATCATTTATCATTGTTTAAAATTCAAGTGTGGACAAAAGGATTGAGAAATTGATGAAAAAAATTGTGGGAAGGTAATGGTGATGGGAAGATGGATCGCCTGATAGTTGGGAAGTCGTTTCCCTTCCAAAAAATAAAGGGGGTTTTGGTTTGGGTTTGGGTTTGGAGAATAATTTAACAAAGAATATTTCTCTACTCAAAAAATGGTTACAAAGATTTCCTTACACCATGTTAAGAGCAAATATGAGATTCAAAATAATAGATGGGAGTCCTGTGTGGTTAATTGGAGGAATTCTTGATCCCGCAGAAGTTCTTTTCCCAAGTTCTTTCTCATTTTTCTTAATATACCTGGTTGTTCGTAATGGGGAGAATGTTCACTTTTGGTAGATGTTTGGAGGGCAGTGAAAAATGAGATACCCGATTGTGTCATTTATCTCGTTCTCATAATGCTTCTATTATGTTTTGTAGTTCTTTTACTATTTTGATTTCTTGGCATTTCAACTTCTACAGAATCTTAATGATTGAAAGGTCAATGAGTTGGAATCTTTGCTTTCTATTCTTGATTATGGGTCTTTGAGTCAAACAGTTTTTGATAATATATTGTGGCAATAATATTTTTCCTCATACGTTTATATGGTAATTAATAACTACTTTCTTTTTCATGCACATTGAGCAGGCATACTAATAATATATTTATAAGGAGCATAGCAGGGACATTGCGGCTATGTCTGCAATGTTTAATTGGGATTCTGCTACATGAAAATTAGATAACTTTAGGCTGCAAGTTACAAGCTACAACTTCCAGCATGAAAAGGACAGTGGAAAAGATAACAGTAGACTACCCAAAAACGTGAAGTTGAATTGGAAAAAATAAAAAAAATAAAAAAAATAAAAAAAATCATGATACTAGGTTGAACTCAAGAAGAAGATTTTAATAGAAGAAAACACACTATTTATTACTTTCACACAACTCATTTTATGAAAAATCACTAAGCCAGTATGAACTTATGACTAACCAGATTTGCTGCTTAAGGGCTCAGAAAGCTATATGTTTCATGCATATATCTAGATAATAGAGATGTGGATGGTTTCACACAAAAAACCCAAGTAGTGAATGCTTATGATTGTGTGACCTGTCAACAATCTAAACTAACGAAACTACTCCATGCAGGTAAATCATACAACACCACGTGAAAAAGAAAGGTTCAATACACTATATTCCTACCTCGTTGGCAATGCCATACTTTGCACAATCAATTGCAAGACGGGTTGCACGTCCAATGCTTTCTTTAGTCCTTGATAGTGTCTCTATCATTCCTTCAAAAGCATCACGAGCAACAGCTGCCTCGGTACCACCACTAAGTGAACCCCCGGCAGGCTGGTGCCCTGAACTAACTCTTCTGTCCTCAAATTCTTCAGCATCAGGGTGATTATTTGATGAAAACTGGCGACCATGAGATGGAGAATCCACAGATGTGCGAGCATAATATCCCTGTACATCTGGCTGCAAAATGTTACTGGAGCCTGATAGGAAGGCCTGAGCAGTAGATGCAGGACTGGGGCTCCTCCCGGGCACATCAGTAGACTGTGCCAAAAGAGAATTAGCATTGCCATGAAAAATATTTTGTGAGTGAGCTTGTCTCCTTTTGGCCTGAGCAGCAGCAATAAGATTCTTCATAGACATAGCAGAATCTGACATCTTAGCCTCCAACAACAAACTGGTTTTATCATCTCTATCAGCTTCCAGTCTATGATTTGGCAGATAATGAAACATGACCATCAGTTAAATGGCTTTTTTTTTTTTAAATATGGAAAAAGAAGATATACTAAATTGAGCCCAAAATGAAGCATACCTTTCTGCAGTAAAGGAATTATTCTCCCTTGTATTTCCTGTTACAGGAGCAGAATCATCCGCTTGTACATTTGATTTTGGAGTACTTTTTGATCTTTCTCCCAAAGAAATTGGCTTAGTTCTTTGAGTTTTCACTTGATTCTGAGAATAATTTGATCCATCAGAAACCATACCCAAGGCCTTACCAGATCCTGTTTGAGTTTTCTTCGGATTACCAGCACCAGCTACTTTTATTGATGGTCTATTGCCTTTTAATGGTTCTGACACTGGCTTGTTAGTAGCACCTAACCATGGAGACTTTCTAGGGGAACCCAAAATTTGTTTAGCCTCCATGCCAAAGATTCTCTTTCCAATTCCAGTTTCACTGGACTATGGGAAACATGAGCAGCAATTGCCTTTTTAGGCATCTTCTCTACAGGTTGCTCAGGGTTAGGTGAGGAAGATTCATTGGGTACCTTGGCAGAAGTTATGCAGTCCTTCGAAGGGCCAACTTCAGCTTCAACTTCACCAGGATCTCTTACACTAGGTTGATCGTGAACAGAACCTTCATTTTGTACATCAGTGTTCTTCATGCAATCAGTAACACCTGAAGGAGCATGAATCTTGCTGGCAGATCCCGCATGTATGGGAGTTTTAGGCTCCTCATCATCATCTTCATCAAATAGGCGAACAGCTCTCCGTTTTGTGTGCGATTGAGTAACTGGAGATTTAACTTTATCAGAACAAGACACATCATTTTTTATAGCAACAGAAATTTTTCCTGTTTTACTGTCCGAAGTTACAATAGCAGAATCGGATATAGCCTCAAATGCCCAACGCCGACGCTTTGTTGGCGGTAGAGCATCTTCATCAGAAGGAATGTTGGAAGACAAGCTACCTGTCAGCACTCTTGATGCTGAACGATTTTCAGTTTTCAAACGAGACAGAGACCGTTTAAGCTCTGGATTATCTGTTTTTTTTTCAAGAACCTTAGAACTTCGAGAATCATTTTTTTTGTCTGTTTGAAGCGATCCCTTGGGGGCATCATTCGCCAAATCTGCACGTTTAGACCTTTTGGCAGGATTTGAAACTTCATTAATTATTGAATCATGCTTTGCAGGACCAAGTTGACCCCCTTTTTTCCACCCAGAAAGTTTGCCCTTGGCCCGCTCCTCAGGACTACCTTCAGCATCCTTTTGCCCGTCATCCGCTACCCCAAAATATTTCCCATCTTTTCCCAGTTTTTTTGCTTTATTTTCAGTAACAGCATGTAAATCTGATTTAAGATCTGGGGATGATTCCTTCATACTGCTACCTGTAGCTTCCTTTCTTTGCATTCCATCCTTGGCATGCTCATCAGATTCAAGGGGGTCAACATGACAACTGCCGGTATTGTATTTCAACCTCGACAAAGCAGCTGAACTACTACTTTTGTGAACTTCATGAGAACCCACAGGTTTTCTCTTTGACCCAGTAGCCATTTTCCCTGACTTGTGACCATTTGTTAGCGCCTTCTTGCCACCATCAGAGTGCTTGGCACGAACTGACCTATCTTTTTGACCATCTCCTTCTGCATCACACTCACGGTCATTCTGACTAGCGTTCAAGCCTTCAGCAGGTGTCATTACCATTGAGTCTTCTGGGCAAATAATATTATCTTCTTGGTTATGATCGCAGATTTCTTCCTTACGATAAGATGAATTATATGGACTGGACGCTAACACTGCCTCTGTAGATGCGTGAGCACCATCATTCAACAGTCTGTTCTTCTTCTTAGAAGCTTTAACAGGAGAAAATCTATCATTAGCTTTGCCTGGCACACTAGGTTTTGTATCTTGGCAATCCATCACACTGTATCTCTGTGAGCAACGCTCCAACCCACTACTGTGATCACCCAGACCCCTAATCTCCGTTTCTCCATTTGCTCCATCTCTACCATTTCCATCTTGTAAGTCAACCTCTACTGCATCATCTTCCACCCCATCAACAGATAGAGCCTCATCACCAAGAGCTGATCTATCAGTATCATCTCTTAAACCACTAGAATTTTTTTGTTGCAAGTCTTCAAATGCTTCACAGATTTCCTTCACAGCTTGAGCGAAGTGTTTAACTGTTTTACCTTGGCATCGAGCTGACAATTTATTTTTCGCCTCACTAGTAAATGCCTGAATATCCACAGGGGCAACAAAAGCTCTGTAAAAGGCAAACCAAATTAAAATCTACAATCAGTAGAAATTTATAAACAAAAAATAAGAAACAAAATACAAACAGCAATGGGTAAATTAAAAAAAAAAAAAGAACAAGAAAAAAAACTGCAAACACACAAACTTGTTTCATGTAAATCTAACAAATTTTGAACTTACCATTAATATCCCAAAACACTGAAACAAATACATAACAGTTGTTTCAGATTCAGCAAAAATAAATAAATCGTCAATTTTATATAAAATGACCACAAGGAAATACACTTCAGTTTCTCATATTTTAATTGAAACACGGAAAAATATGCATTTGACCACAAATAATATGCCCACATCAACAATTAGGTCACGTTATCAAGTGCACACAGACGCAGTTGCTACTTTATCAGGGCAACTAGACAAGCATCAGCTGAAATTTAGATATCATCAAATAATCTTACAACCAGAAGTAAAAGGTTCCACAAAACTAATGCCATTATGCAGCTGTTTGAAAGCACAAGCATATCAATTAGCCAATCTCTTCAGTCGTGATACATGCCTGTTGACAAAGAATATATCCATTTAACTAATTAGAATAAAAAATAGCTAATCAAAGAAATAGATCAACCTTCCTAATAACACAAAAGTTTACAAAGAACTTCAACATGGCACATTAAATTCTTGTAAATTTAGCAACAAAAAATAATAATAATGACAAAATCCATTTTACACTATGGACCCGGAGCACTTATAGCCCCACCACGTTTAAGAATAGCCAATTTGCCCTAACACGGTTTTGGACTAAAGTGCTACCTTAACTCTATTAACATAAATATAAAAAGATGTTAATAACCTTGTCGTCGTCGTCGTCTTCTTTTTCTAATTCTTCATTGCCAAAAAAAAAAAAAAACAACATAGATTTGAATGCTGCATAGCCACCAGCAGGTGTGGCTTTAGAAAACCAGATTCTTCTTTTCGGACATTAAACCAAAGGAGAACATATTCATTACCCAAAATCCATAGCCTCTATCTCTTTCTAGAATTACTTCTTTGAACTAAAAATGAGATACATTAATGGCAGCAGCTGATGGAGAATGCCCACAACAGAACGTACCACCAAGGACAAAGAAAGTGATGTCAAACAGCCAGCACAAGAAAATAAAAGTACAAGCAAATAAAGGTCACACCAAAAGAAAATGAAAGAAATCATAAAATTCTTTGATCTCAGTATCAAAACTCAACTCAATTTAATATCATGGTCAGAAAAATTCTGCTACACAATGACCTATAATAAACATCCAAGAAAACCTTAATTAAAAGTTACCAAAAATAAAACAACACAACTTTTAATTCCTGATTAATATGATAATATTGGGCATATCCTAAAAATCCAACTTTCCAGATTTCTTCAATTCTTTCCTCAGCCAAAACCGTTTCTTGTCCTCATCAGAAAGTACATGGAAATTCCAAACTTTTGAGCTCTGAAGTTCTAGTCTTTACAAGTTCATGATTCCCAAACCCCCCAAAAAATAGTAATTTTGGAAACAAACGGAAGTAGTGAATGGCTTCCCAAATAGGCTCCAATAAATCCAAAATTCCCAACAAAACTGCAATAAAAGCAACTTGCAACATTTTATCAACAATAGAAAATCTGGGGAACTTTGTTAAGATGACCCCAATGTTTCACAACCTTCCTACACTAGTTACAGATGAACAACAAAAAGAAAAAGGAAAAAAAATAGCCACCAACATTGGACAAAAGTATAATTAGGAGCGCCACCCATCTAGAGAGACAAACTCCTTCAAAGGACATGGACTATTTAGAAATAACATTCACCAAATTCATATATATGTGTGTTTAGTTACAAATTCGCTTTTAAATAAATCAAATATCTTCATAAGATTGACTGCAACTGTTAATGGAGAACTTTGATCTTATATTCACAAGGCAATATCCATGCATAGGCGTATCTGGTACATTTTAAGCTATGTTGCATGGTCTCGGAGGCGAGTGCATCCAAATGTCAAACCTTCATAAACCTAAAACTTAGGATATTAGGATATGTAGCCTAAAGTTGGATTATGGGTACAGGGACACATCATAAATACTTATAAATATTACATATTGTACAATATTCTTAGATAAGATGTTATTAACTAAGTAGTGATGTACTTGAAAAAATTTAGGGAAAATACGAGGTTTTCATCTCTCATCTATGTGAAGTGCGAGAAATGTTTCTTCACTAGCAAATGTGAGTTTCTTCTTCATCAAACATCATAACAAATTAGAGGATCCAAGTATCTAAATTGTGTACAAGTGTCAGATATATACACCACACCCTTACCCTTGTCATATCCTGTGGATACTAGTACTTTGGGGTAAATAGAAGAGTCCATCCACATAACACAAATTTAATATATGCTGTCCACTTTTTTTTGCAAACTATCAGGTATTGAACATTAGGAGGACTCTGTATCAATCATAATTAGGTTACCAAACCTAGTCGACCCATCCACAGCATTTGAGCGGAACCTTTCTCATTCAAAGAGTTTATTATTACTATCTCAAGGAAAGGTAGATTTCATTCATCTTTTTACAGTGTGCTTCTGGAGACCAGGGCTAATTGAATGCAAGTTTTTCAGGAAACTCAAACTGCCATTAGAGATGGCCAAAATAAAAGAGGAAAATGACGCCTCGAGTATGAACTAATTTTTTTTTTTAAGACGTGTTTGAATCTTAGATTTGGGGAAAGATTTATGAAAACAAGGGAGATATGAAAGAAAAAAATTGCTTATATCATTCATAGTTCCATTCTCTTTTATTTCCACGCCACTCCATAAATGCCTCTTTAAATTCAAAAATTAAACCGAAACTAAAAAAATATCACAATTTTCGTGTCTGTTTGGTTTGATTTTTCAAAAACTGTTTTTAGATGAGTTTTCATTTATTTTTAGTGCATGTTTTTTATGACTTAATCAATTTTTTGTATTTTTTAAAGGTACCTAATCAATATGCATCTAAAAAGTACAATAAATTAGCTAAAATATTAAAAAATATCAATAAAACTAACGAAAATTCAAACAAAAATTTGTGTGCAATTTTGTTCAGGATTTAGTTTGTTTTTAGTGAATTTTTTTCATATTTTAGTTAAACTTTTTTAAATTTTTAGATGCATCTAAAAAGTCCTATAAAAAAATGACTAAAATATATAAAAAAAAAAAGTCCAGTAAAGACAAACGAAAATCCGTTTAAATATAGTTTCTGAAAATGTAAACATGAAATAAAACTTATGTAAAGTTCTTTTTTTTCCCAATGGGCTCAACTGAACCCACTGACTTACATGCAGCCCCGCCCCTGATTACAGTACTAGCAGCAGAACCGTCCAACACAAACACTGACCTACATTAGTCATTATCTTCATTAGAAAAAAGTCCAAATCAAACTATATACATAATCCTTAGGTTGCTTTGTTAACATGCTCCAGGTCATATCAATTGGGTTGGTGACATTCAAATACATAATCACTTAGTAGAACTAACTATTTTTCGAAACATATTGAAGGTATTTTTTAGAATTCTTACAAAAACATTAAAATGAAATAAATTAAAAACTTGAAGAAGATCCCGTTGGGAAACCATTTCTCGTGGTTTTTCTCTTTTCTCAAAACATGTTCATGTCATTGTGCATAATGGGGAGAAACACTTTTGAGAGGATGATTGGAGGGGTGATGTTCTTTTGCTCATTTATTTCTGATTTTAAATCGATAGCATACATAACGCCTCCACTTTTGTGTCAAACCCACTAACAGCAACTCAAGGTCACAATCATGGCTCTCTACCGGTCCAGCAAAACTTGTTGCTCATGAACCAGCATATATTATTTTTTTACCATGCTTACAACTTTGCAAAATCTTGTGCAATGTATTACAATTTACAGGCCTTAACATGGAACCCAAGAGAACTCTACCTCAATATTAGCCATAAATTACTGGCGCCACAGCTTAAAGTCCAATGCCTTGACAATTGCCTATTTCTCTAACTAAATCATAAGAAATAAAGAAATCATCTTGTGCATGAATTGGAAATATGTTAGCAATCCATTATAACTTGAATTCAAGTTCCATCCACTATAAAATCTTAAGACTTCTTCACATAAAAAACAAAATGTCAATAACCTTTCCAATAAGTATGGCACTGTGAGAAACCAATTCATTTAATACCTTCATAATGCAAACCAAACTAATTTCCCATTTGTTGTTCTTCCCATAAGTTTTGTTGTTTCTTGTTACCAAATACAAAAATACCAAAGTACTCTACCATAAGTTTTTTAATGAATGATGCGAGTAATACTCCCTTGCACCAATTTGTATTTTCTTCAATAAGAACTTAGATTCCAAGCTAGTCTACACTAAAATTTTATGTTACAATACAAGGATGCATATAGCAATTTAAATAGCTTACTCCACATGATCACACATGGAAAATTGGGGGGGAAAACAAACACTTACATTTCTGCTGTTCCAAAGAATTGAACAAAATACTTCTTGGGGTCAGGAGCTCGCTTCCAATCTTCCGGCCTGCTAATCTGAAGAAAAAAAATTGATACCCAAAAAAAATGCCTCATAAACAAAACACTTAACTAAGCATAATAACCTATATTCCGCATTACAAAATAGCAAATACATCAAATAAGGTAAATCCAAATGTGCGCAAAAACAACAAAGATGACACCAAATTCCAGCACACAAACAAATCAAAATTTTCATCATTACCTCATCCAACAAAAAGAACTTTCAAATCTACATCATCACATCAATCATTGACCAAACATGTTGCCACAACTGGTATCAAGAAACCAACTACCTCGCATATCTATGGAGCACTAAATATTCCCATTCCCACAAAATAAAAATAGATGTTTGAAACTTCATCAACAATTTACAGGAACCTTTTTCTTGAAAAAGTGTAATTAATTTCATCCATTAAGACAGAAGCACATAGTTGTACAAAACATATGGGTCCAAGGAGTTAAATCATAGGACAGCTCACTAATTTTTATTTTGGCTTTCTGTTTATTTTTTTATATAATTTTAATCAACCTTAGAAAACCTAATCCAAACTTCAAGCCTCCTTCCCCCAACGTCCCCCACCCAAAAGAAATAATAAAATAATCCCATGCCAACCCCCATCCAATTTCATAAAATTTTTGGGCTACTGAGCAACTCTCAAACTTAAAAAACAATGTTTCTCAGAGGGCCGACCTTTATTGGTAATTTCAATGTGTTTTTTTCAGGAAAACAAAAAGTCTTTTAAGACTTATTCTGCGTCAAAATTTAAATAAATTCAACAACCTAAGTACCTGAAAACAATGCAAATATTTTAGGAGCCAATCATGTTCTAAGCAAAAGCCAATGCTCATCACCAAACACCAAACCAAACCCCATCTTAATTCATCCAACAAGTTTGAAAAAAGTTAGAATAGACATACAAAAGAACATTCTCAAACCAAGTCCAGATATCAGTGACAAACAAAATCGAGCACAAGTACATGATACCTTGGAAACTAACCAAATTGCGATAGAACCTGACCATGTTCAACATTATGAAGCAAGGTAGCAAGACTTTAATATTTAGATCGATAAAGAATCACAACAAAAACAAACAATCAGTAAATCATATTAAATTCAATTATTCAACATCCATAAAAAGCAACTCAATAACAAATTAAGTGAATTACTAATTTAACCATGCTACAAACAGCCAAGCAACATACGGCAGAAAGCACGTTGAATTACTAAAATCAAACAAAGACAGCATGAACTCCTCACAATGGTTCACCCAACAAGCCAATACGAATGTACTAAGGAGATAAACATAGAAATTCCTATCGGACCTAATCTATTCTATTAGATAAAGCATACAACTCACTTTGGAGTGAACAACTTTTTGAAGCTTTGTCGTGTTACACAGACTCTGCAAAATAAATCAAACATCCGTGTCGTGCATCCGATACTTAGATAAGGGTGAGATATGTGTCGGATACTTTTTCACTGGGCACTTCTTATATATTTTATCTGTAACACTTTTATTATATATATACATATTGTCATATAATTATTATAAATGTCTTTCTGGCACTATATTTTACATATAACACTATTTTAAAAATACAAAAATATAACTTTTTTGTTGCCGAGTCCGTGTACCTTAAATTTAAGATTTGATGTGTCAGAGACCTCTAGATAAGTCACCCGCACTCGACACCCGTCACACAATTTTAATTTCCAAAAATGTCCATAGAATTGATAGCTGAATGAATAAGAATGCTGCATTTAGTAAATAACTGCTAATCGGTTTACGAAATCAAGGCATAATTCCCATTTAGCAAAGCACCCAAAATTTATATATAAAATTGCCCGCGCGGGGTGTGTGAACCTGCAATCTAAACATATCCCCTTACTATATATCCCAAAGTACGAAATTAATTGCTCCACAATCAAGATAAGTTCAGACAGTAAAAATAAAAAATAAAAGCACAAAATATTTGTACTAAAATCGACCCAATAAACCAGCAAAACAAACAAAACCCTAATTTCCAGTCAAACGATTGTAATAAAAAAATCAAAAAACACTAAAAATTAAAACATGAGCTGAAACACTGATATATACAAAACCAAATTGAATTCAAGAAATGAGAGAAATATCCGAAAGAAGTAAAAGCACACCTTAGCAGGCCATGCAGGGAAGCCCTTGACCTTGGCGAGAACCAGATCACCGAGACGCAACTCACTCTTCCCCTTCGGTCCTTTCGCTCCACGTTTACGCGTCGGAGCCATTGACGCTACAAAACCCTAGCGGGCACCACCAACCACGTCGTAATCGTCTTCTTCTTCGTCGTGAGGAGAGCGATCAGAATCGCAATCGTACCGAACCAAAAACCCTAGAGAAAACTCGCAAACGCAACCAACCACGCGAGAAAATGGGTTCGCGAGAGTCTCTCCGGCGAACAAAGTTATCAGAGCATCGGAATCGGAGACACTGTACAGAGAGGCTAAGAGCTGCGATACGGGTTCCGCATTCGGATTGTAGAGAGAGAGAGCGACAGGGAGAATGGGGGGAATTGAGGCGGTTGATGAGAGAGAAACAGACAGAGAGAGAGAGAGAGCAGAGAGTAGAAATAGGAGTATAATAATTTTTTTCAAAAAATTTATACCAACTAATATAATTATATATTTTAGGGGAAATGTGAGAAAATTTGCAAGAATGTAAAAGAAAATGTAACAAAAGATAGTATGCAATTTGATGGTAGAAAAAGGAAATAATAATAATATGTATGGAAATTTGTAAAATAATTGTACCGCCAACCCTGCATCGACACCAATTCCAACCTTTCATCATGATTAGATTATGCCTCCGACGACTCTCGGCAATCCAATTGTAATTGTGAGTGACTAAATTGTTAAACCCAACTCTTTCTTTTTCTTGAATTTTAATTTTAGGGTTTTAATTTTGAGGTAGGGTGGCATATGGTAAAGGACGAGCCGCTAATGATTCAGTAGTGTAAATGAGGGATGATTGTGGTAGCGACATGGAAAGGATGCAGAATGATTGATAAGAGATGATACGGTGGTCGGAGAGGAGTGAGAATGCAATTGGAGATGGCGGAAAGGACTGGCTCATATCGGTGGTGGTGATCAATGTCGTAAAAGAAAAGGAAAATGATGAATGAAGGGTATTTATGTCTTATTGATTTACTTTACCATCTTTTTGTAATTAATTTAAAGAATAACATATCTTTTGAAATTAATTTTAAGAATAACATATCTTTTGAAATTTTGGGAAACATTTTATTAATTTGCACACAAAAAAAATTGCCCATTCCATTTTTCTACAAGGACTTGCATGGCCTCCAGTTGGACTAGCCAATTGGACAGTCCAGTTCAACTCATTGTGGACCCATTTTGGATTCATTTCGACAATCTAAATCGTTAAGTATGTAGAATTTGTCGAGTACTCAATTTCAATTAAAAACACAACAATCGGATATCAATAGCCACTTGATCAAATCACATTTGCGTGAATAATTTATTTTGAAAATTATAATTGTCGTTGGCATAAATTTGATCTAATTAAGTGATTATTGATATTTGATCAATATGATTTTTTGTAGAGATGAAATACTCAACAAACTCTACATATTAAATGGTTCAGATTATCGATATACGCTCCAAAGTGGGCTTACAGAGGCCAACAGCATGCTCCGGTCCAATTCTAAACTAGAAAGAGGCCACTGACTTTCTAATTAAGTGGCTACCCTTTTATGGGGGGATAATTACACTTTTGTATAATTTTTGAAAAATAATTACATAGTATTAATAAAAAAATTAAAATTAAAATTATTAATATTTTGCAATTTTTTTCATTGATTTGTAATTATTTTTTTTAGAATTTTATTCATGATTTGATATTTCTCTTTTTTTTTAACACTTAATTTGGTTCAGGATACAAATACAAAATTTATTACTCTATGACTAGTTTGGTTAATAAAAACAAAAAATTCAAAATTTATTACTTTGCAATAAAAAAAATTATACAAATTATTAATTTTTATAATATTATTTCTATTTTTGTGAAAGTCGTATGGTAACTCTCCCAAAAAAAATCAAAATTGATTAATTTGTAATAAAAAAATAAGGCTTTTTATTGAGAAATCCTATGTAGAAGTGTTTTAACCCAAAAAGTCTATGAGGGAATTTTTAACTCACTCCCATGTATTTATACTTTTATTCCATAAAGTCTTTTTTCTTGATTTACAGTATTTTTCTTAGACTCTTATACCCTTATATTTAATATTGATATTTAATGTTGAGAGAGGAGAGAGAAGGGAAATGACCAATGCATAAGAAATTTCATACACAAATTAAATAATTTTGATGTTATTATTTTATATTATTATTATTTTTAATTGACAACACATTAAAAATAATGTGAACATTCTCTCTCATCTGATGTGAACGTTTACAACACATTTCCAAAAAATTCTCTCTCATCTAATGTAGTGATGTGAACATTTACAACATATAAACCTTCTTATTTTTAATTGACAACACATTAAAATAACGTTCATTATATTTTTAATTGACAACACATTCGTATTTACAACATGTAGTGATGTGAACATTCACAACATTTGAACATTCTCTCTCATCTAACATAATGATGTGAACGTTCACATTCGTATGTTTTTGTATGAATATTCACATCATGTAATTAACAACACAATAGCAAAAATTCATTTCAAATTAATGTGAATATTCATTTCAACTGCATGATGTGAATATTCACATCATGTAATTGACAACACAATGACAAAAATTTATTTCAAATTAATATGAACATAATGATAGTCAACATCTTGATGTATGAGAACTACCAAAACATAATGACAATCAACATTAAATATTAACATTAATAGGGGTAGGAGAGATTGTGACTGTTTTGGTCTTCTTATATTAAATAAGACCTAATGAAATAGTCAAAAACAATATGGGTTTGATGGAATAAAAGTCTTTAAAAAGGATTTATCAAAAAAGCTCTCCAAAAAAATATTTATACAAATTATTAATTTTTTATAATATTACTTTTATTTTTGTGAAAATCATATAGTAACTTCCCCAAAAAATTCAAAATTGATTAATTTGTAATAAAAAATACTTATACAAATTATTAATTTTTATAATATTACTTTCAAAATTGATTAATTTGTAATAAAAAATATTTATACAAATTATTAATTTTTATAATATTACTTCTATTTTGGGAAAGTCATACGGTAGCTTCCCCAAAAAATTCAAAATTTATTAACTTGTAATAAAAAACATTTATACAAATTATTAATTTAAGCCTGTGTTTGGTAAGTGGGTTTGCAGGTTTTTTTGGTTATTTTAGTCACAAAAAACAAAATAGGCTATTTTAGCCATAACAAACAAAACATCACATCCAATCCATAATCATTACATTCTTCTCTCACAAAAAAACTCAAAAAAACCAAAAAGTCAAAAAACCCTTCCCAAACCAAGCTTTTAAGCCCAGACTAAAATAGCCAAAAAAACCAAAAAGCCAAAAAGACAACCCACTTCTTTATAATATTATTTCTATTTTTGGGAAAGTCATATGGTAACTTCCCCAAAAAATTCAAAATTTATTAATTTGCAATAAAAAGCATTTATACAAATTATTAATTTTTATAATATTACTTCTATTTTTGTGAAAGTCAAATGTAACTTCCCTAATCCACATTTCTTAATGCCCCACTTATTGCTTTGGATCCTTCATTTTTTTTAAGAGTGATTCTATTTACACTATTAGTTTACCTCTCTACACCTTCCATCACATTACACCATTAAAAAAAATATATGATTCTCATTATACCCATTATACTACCAAAACTAACTCCAAATTAAAAACTCTTCAAAGCCCTTTCAGTTTTGTATCCACTGATAGCTTTTGTAATGCCCTGACTTTTATTACTTGGATAATGTTACATTTTTTTCTTTAAATCAGTCAATTTCAATAACAATAAACATCAAAGGTATTTAGCAAAGAATAAATTATAAATGTCCTCTCTTGTATACATGTGATGAAATACAATACACGCCCATAAGCGTTACGTTATCAATTACAAAATAGCGAAATATATAAAAAGGATTAACCCTTTTTACAACACATCGGCATTCTACTTGCATTTAAAAGGCCATGTGGTCAACAATTAACAGATTTCACATCTCAAGCAACTCTTTACTCCATACTTGAAAAATAATTAGCAACGTGGGATGAACACAAAGGTCTAGTAAGAATCCTAATAATCTTAAATAATAGCAACATATAGATAGGTATGATCATGAATGCTCTACGTATATATATAGGATATATGACATTTTATACTTCAAAATATACTTACATAAATACAATTTTTCAAAAGATAATCTTTAACTTAATAAGAAACAAAGACCAGTTCTTACCTTTCAAAACTTTTCATTTGTATTTAAAGAAATCTCAACCATTCATCACATTATCACGATCTCCTAAGATCGATCTAAACAATATACTCGTCCTATATTCCAACTCATTACGGCTACAAATATAATTACTATATATTATGGCCTTAGAGCATCTCCAACCCACTAGGCATATGATGCTTGTTAGTCAAAATGCCTAATGTGACTCACTTTTTTCAACTCCAATGCACTAGGTTAAATAATAGCAACATATAGATAGGTATGATCATGAATGCTCTACGTATATATATAGGATATATGACATTTTATACTTCAAAATATACTTACATAAATACAATTTTTCAAAAGATAATCTTTAACTTAATAAGAAACGAAGACCAGTTCTTACCTTTCAAAACTTTTCATTTGTATTTAAAGAAATCTCAACCATTCATCACATTATCACGATCTCTTAAGATCGATCTAAACAATATACTCGTCCTATATTCCAACTCATTACGGCTACAAATATAATTACTATATATTATGGCCTTAAGCACAAGTGTAGAATGAACGTTCACAAATATATATATATATATATATAAGCAACAATAAATATGTCAACACGCATTACCATATTTTACCGGTCACAAGTACGGAAAGCTAATAATGCATCCCTTCTCATCATAACACAAGTATGAAGATACAATAAGCGTAATTAACATATAACGGACCCCCGACTTCGTCAAGTCATAGTCACCACAACCCACTTTACTAGGTGCGAGCCAGAGGGGAGAGGAACTTATTTCAAAGCACTAAACTTTACTGGTCCTTGAGCCGGAGGGGAGATGAACCTGTTCACACTTTACTGGGCGTAAACTGGAGGGAAGAGAAACCCATATCAAAGTGTCAAACTTTACCGAGCGCAAATCCGAAGGTTAGAGAAACCCATATCAATGCGCACTTTCAGTCAACTTAATTACTGACACATTATTCCAAGTTTCACAAATTATCTAACAACATCAGTACCATCTCATATCGATGGCCAAGGACACAGCCTCATAAACGACAAGAACCAAGTTCATGAATTCAATTTCATCCTCTTGATTTAGATTTTATCAACATTTATACATTACATAACTTTCATCTTTCAACTCCAATTAATTCAACTTCCAATTTACGTCGTTTTCAAA